AAAAAAAAAAAAAAAAAAAAACCCTGAGACTTTGAAAAAACATTTCAGATGCTATATATCATAAGAAACTTGTATCTGGAATAAATAAAATAACTCAAAAATAAAAACATGAATATTCCTGACTCATTCTATAAGGCCAGTATTACCTTGATAAAAAAAAAAACCGGAGGGCTGGGCACGGCCTCGTGGCTCATGCCAGCAGTTTGGGAGGCCAAGGCAGGTGGATCATGATGTCAGGACATCAAGACCATCCTGGCTAACATGGTGAAAACCCATCTCTACTAAAAATACAAAAAGTTAGCCAGGCGTGGTGGCACACACCTGTAGTCCCAGCTACTCGGAAGACTGAGGCAGGAGAATCACTTGAACCTGGGAGGTGCAGGTTGCAATGAGCTGAGATCGTGTCACTGCACTCCAGCCTGAGTGACAGAGTGAGACTTCATCTCAAAACAAACAAACAAACAAACAAAAACAAGCTGGAAAAGACATCACAGTAAAACTACAGACCAATATTCATATGAATATAGATGGGAAGAGCCTCAGCAAAATACTAGCAATCCAAATCAAACAGCATATTAAAAGGATCATATACCATGCCAAGTGGGTTTTATCTTAGGAATGCAAGAGTGATTTAACACATGAAAAGCAAAAAGTATAATATAGCATTTAGTAGAATGAAGGAAAAAAATAAACAGATCATCATCTCAATTGATGTGAAAAAAGCATTTTAGAAAATCCAATACCTTCTCATGATAAAAACAAATCAGGATATAAAGAACTTCATCAATCTGATAGAGGGGCATTTATGAAAACCCCACAGTTAGTATTATATTCAATGCTGAAATATTAAAAGCCTTCCCCCCATGATCAGTTATAAGGGTGCCTATTTTCACCGCTTCAACTGTATACTGGAAGTTCTAGCCAGAGAAATTAGGAAATAAAAGGAAATCAGTTGCATCCAATTGGAGAGGAAGAAGTAAAACTGTCTCTATTCAAAGATGATATGATCTTATATAGAGAAATCCTAAAGAATCTACACAAAAAAAGCTACTAGATAAATGAATTCAGCCAATTTTCAAGATACATGATCAACATACAAAAATCAGTTGTGGCCAGGTGCAGTGGCTCATGCCTATAATCCCAGCACTTTGGGAGGTTGAGGTGGGTGGATCACGAGGTCAGGAGATTGAGCCCATCCTGGCCAACATGGTGAAACCCCATCTCTA